CCTCTCCCCCTCTGGCTCCCCTCCCCCTCCCTTTCCTCTTTCTGACACTCCGACAGTCTGTTCAGCCCCACCTCACGGAGTTCTGCTGATGGCCGGGGCTATCTGTGTGAACCTGCACAGATGATCCTCCCTGCCTGTGAATCTGGACTGGTTTTCCTAATGAGGACATTATTTGCTTTTTAGCCTGCCCCTTGTTTATAAAATATGCCAAGAGAACTAAACAACCCGCTGTTCCCAGTCCTTATTTACTTGCCCAAACCAAATGTTTATGTCTGCGAATATTAAACTTGAAAAAGGATTCCTCCTCATGAGAAAGGAAAGCTTCAGTGATCACTGAAGGCCCTTTCTAAACAATAGCTGAAGACCTGCTTCTCAGAAAACGTTCACTATCAGCACCTTGAGGACTTCAGACTCTCTGAGCCCTGGAGTGTTGTGTAGGAAGAGCTCTAGGATTCTCTGCCGCCCCTCCAGCCCTTTCCCTCCCCGCCCCTTAACTTGACTGCAAGGGATCAAACCCCCCTCCAGGGCATCCCGTTCCCCTTCCCACCGCGCCTCCCAGCCAGGTGCAGCAGTCTGAGCTTGGCTGCTTCTAAAACCATACTTGAATGAAATACAGCCTAGAACCTGAGGAAGGAAGAAGACAAAAAAGCAGTTTGCAGCAACATCATGGGTTACTCAGGTACCTCGTTGCACTGGCTTCCAGCATGGCCAGCCTTAGCCAGCCAGCTGGAGAGGTTTGGGGGTGGGGGGTGGGGGGCAGTTCTGGCTTCATCAGCATGTTCTGTATCACCTGGGGAGCTCCTGGAACACGGGCTGCCCGCCTCCAGGCAGCTCAGAACCTGGCACCTGTGTTTTCTGGATGCTGACCAGGTGAGTCTGATAGAGCCAGGTTCCAGGGCCTTCTGATGACAGCCACGGCTGATACAAGTTGGTTCCTCTCCAGTGGGATTTTCCGGCGTGCATCTGATAGGAATCCCATTATTCATCTTTCCTGACAGGTTTTCTGCTGAAAACACGTTTGTCACCTTTCCTTGTTTCTTTTTCCATAAGGAGAAACATTTCCTTGTTACCTTTGCTAGATTATTTAGGAGAAGAGTGTAAATTGAAGCCATTTATCTTGAAATGTGCTGGAGGGGCATATTGTTTATACAAGTGAAAGAAATTGCAACAGAGGTATTTGGTCTGGTCTGCAAGGAAAAGGTGTGTCAAGTTTTCCTGCTCCCTCCCCCCTTTATACATACATTAGTTAAAAGGTGTAGAAAGCACGAATAGGTTAGGTTTGCAGGTGTGACAGGCAGGGCAGTCGTTAATGGGTTTGGTGAGTATTTTTTATGTTATCTGTAGAGTTAACAGTGTCAATAACAATAACATGAATGTTACTCCTCAAACATCAGTCATACGTTTTCTTGACCAGAGTGTATTTATCATATAGTATCCTGCGCATCTTAGTGAGATAACAGATGGATGTGAATTTGTGGGGATTTTGCTGTTCTAATTGAAACCTGTACATGTTTGTCAGTTGGTGGACGAGTAAGCCGCGAATTAAATTATACTCGCCAGAAGATTGGAGAAGAGGCTATGTTTAATCCTCAGCTCATGATTCAGACCCCAAAAGAAGAAGGTGCTAATGTTCTGACCACAGAAGCGCTCCGCCAGCACCTGGACTCGGCGCTCCAGGCCAGCCGGGTCCACGTGTACATGTATAACAGGTGAGCTGGTGGGAAGGAGGGGCCCTGCCTTCAGCACCTTGCTTTAGTAAATAAGGCTGCCCTGGCAAGACACCTGGGTGTTAGTTCAAATACAGTGTTTCCCCGAAAATAAGACCTAACCAGAATATAAGCCCTGGCATGGTTTTTCAGGATGCTCGTAATATAAGCCCTGCCCCAAACATAATCCCCAGTTAAGATCGTCAGCCAGACATGACTTGTTTGAATAAATATAGATTTTTATACATGAATAAATGAATAAATGTAGATTGTTGGAGCAAGAATTAATGTAAGACCCAGTCTTATTTTCAGGGAAACACAGTAGTTTTGTAAAGAAATGATTTTTTTTAAATCTCAATTTGTTTTCAGAGTTTGATAACCAAATTCATGACTTTATAATGTATTTTCAGTAAGTATCTTGCCACTATACCCAAATGAGTATGATCCTTCAAGCAGCTGCTTGGGTGGCTATATATACCCACTGAAGATATTTCGTTACTTCAGATGTTTTTAGAACAGTTAGATTTTACATTGTGTTTGGTCAACTTTCAAGGCGTAAGAATAGGAAAGAAAAAGAAGTTACATCTTGTGACCTTGTATTCACTGTAGACATTGACAGTTGTTGGTATGTGTCACAAAGCACATAGGGAGCTCAGCCATTATGGTGAATTCCTGTCGACAGGTAGGTGGAATAAGGCGGACTCCTACACAACTTTATAAAATATTGCCTACCCTTTAGCTTCACAGCTAATGTAACAATGCTGTGGGTATAGTAAAAGCATAGGAACAGTTTTGTAGCAAAATTAACAGCACTTTTCTTATCTATCTAAACTGAGTTATTCAGGGCCGGACCACAGATTGTCCGTTGTACAGCAGTTAGATCAGGGCAGACACTTGGAGTTTGTTGATCAACTAACTGCCTGAATTTAAAACAGGATCTTGTCCCTGAACTGTTGCGATAGCTATCACTAAACCCCAGTTCCAGGGGACCACCGAGTTGACATTTGTATAACTCCATCCCACCCCCATAAGGCTTTCAATACTTCTTAACTAACTGAGTGGTTGGCAAGTATGATTTATTTTTCACAGGGGAGGTGAGAAAGTGGCAATGTAGACATATTCAGTGACCAGAGAGAATGAGAGAGGGAATAAAATGAAAATCTGTACTTGTCCCTGCTGTAACGTCCACTCTGCATGGACTTAACTGGATTGGCTCTAAGACCCATCCAGCTGGAGACAGGATTTAGGGCCCAGTATGACCCAGGACAAGTCACATATCTTGGGCATACTCTTGTTTCCTAATCTATAAACTTAAGTTATGATCCTGTTTGCTCTGTGAGCCTCAGGAGGTTCCCAGAACAAGATCAGGTGTATGTATATATGAAAGGGCTTTGGAAGAAACGTGTTTTAGCACTTCTGTCAGGCAGACTTGGCAGAGCACATCCTGGCTCTTAACCAGTACGGCCCTCCCAGTCTGTCAGGAGCGCTGTGGGGGAAGCAACTAAACTACCCAGTGCAGTTTTGCAAAGTTTGCAAGTGGAAATGGGTGTCCCAGGGCCACTGAACATGGCAAATGCATTCTTAATGTAATGGGAACCTACTTTGGGGAAGCTTGTCACTTACATACTTAAGGAGAAGATATGAGCATCTGTGCTATGAAATTAACACTCTTAAGCTGAGCTGGAACCCAAGAACTTTTATGCGTTGAAATGAACTACCAAGAACACCTAGTTCAACCCATCTAATTTTTTAGGTGAGAAAATTGGGAATTAGATTTATCTAACTAGACAATGGTTTTTCTAATGCACAGCCATACCCTTCTAAAGCAAGTGTAAATAAGAGTTAATTGATCAAGTGATAATAAGTGAGAACCTCCTCATGCTAGATAGTCTGTTGATGCTATGCAGAATTAAATATAAACAAATACATGGATGGGTAGGTGGATGGGTGGATGGATGGATGGATGGATGGATGGATAACTTGGGTCCTGCTCTCAGGAGCTGACAGTCTAGTTAGGGAGAAGAAAGACATCAATACAGAAAACCATGTACAAAGCTGGACACTGGCATTCCCCACTGCAGGTGCTCAGGTGTCAAGCAGAGATCTGACCAGTCAGTGTTCTAGAGTTCAGGGGTCATTTAATTGCACTGGTCAAAGAGTGCGTAGCAGGAAGGTGGCATTTTAGTGGGGCACTGAGAGATGGATGGGCAGGTTCCACAGGAAAGAGGGCAATGTCAGTGTCAGAATACCCCTTGGGGTGACCAATACAATAGTGTAGTTTGGAGGGAGTTTTTTATTTTTTCTTCTCTTGGATTCTCCATCCCCACCATTTCCGAATTTCCTTTTTTCAAGCTAGACTTAATCTCCCTAAAGGCGTGGGCTTTATACATGAGTATAGTACTCTTCTAGAGATAACAGAGCTCTATAATAATACATAGATGAAAGATAAACAAGATCATTGTTGATCAGTGTATTTACTATCATTTCTATAGGACGAGAAGACTGTAAAGTGGGAAATTGATCTACCTGGCAATGTTCACAGCATTCATGGTTAAGAGCAGGAAAGTTCATTTTGAACACTGTCTGTTAATAAACACATTATCTGCCAGTAAAAAAAAGGGTCATAATGTTTTCTCACCTCAATATATGTTAATACATTATTATAAACCTTACTAATTTAGTCCCCACTTATTTTGAATTTGTGACAATTCAGCTCTGAATTATCTGCCCTGAAGTTGTTTAATGTATGTAGAAAAGCAGATTAATGGTGTAAACAAGATTATTGGGAGAACACTTAAGGAAACAAGACTTCTCAAGTACTTTGGTAGCATTAATTTACATAAACACCCCACATGTTAATTACAACTGAGTATTATCTATTCATTAAAGCATGCTTGTTGGGTCTCTACTTGGCAAAAGTTCTCGATTTGACAGGTACTTAAAAGTGATCAAAACTGCAGTTCTTTCTATATATGTTCTATAGTTCTGACTTTGTACTGATGTCTTTTGGTACAATGAGAAACTTTTTTCTCTACTCTTTAATAGGCAGTGGAAATTGGAACATTTGTGTTACAAATCTGGAGAACTTATCACAGAAACAGGTTACATGGATCAGGTATATTTTCTTTTTGTTTGTAAAAAGAATTCTCAAAAATTCTCAAAAACACTCCAGTGGTATGTGTTAGCCTAATGCATAGCCTATTCTTTTTAACTTTGACAGATAATAGAATATCTTTACCCTTGTTTAATTATTACACCTTTGGACTGCTTCTGGGAAGGGGCCAAATTACAATCTGGGACAGCATACCTACTGTAAGTATATGATCTTATTTTCTGTTGTCTGATTTTTCTAAGCTCTAGAATGTTTCTGATGTCACTTTATCATTGTTTATTCTATTTCAGTTTTGAACAAGAAATAAAAACATTAAAATTCCGTGTGCATTTTTTGAGTGAATAGTTGGGGGAGATGGGACTTCAGCAGAATATTTTTTCTCTTTTCAGAAAAAAAAAAGTTCTGTAGACATCATTAAATTTCATTCACTTTTACCAGCCTATTTATATGCAAATAAAATGCAAATGATTTGGAGTGTGTGTGATTTTTAACTCTTTAAAATGTTTGCTGTGGGCACTCAATCAACTAGGTTTAGCTTATCTTTTAAGGAGAGAATTTATTAGTTGGTACATGTCAGAACTAAATATTTTGAGGTAAAGTTCAAGATCTTCCTGTGAAGTAAAATGCTAACCTTCCCTTGGATCACATTAATGACATTTAAGGGGGAAATCTGCTATCTTTGAAGGCCCTGGTAGGGGATGCTTCACAGTTTAGCAGTTGGATATTATATACACCGCATCATTTAAAGAATAATTGTTAATCAGTGTGGATATTTTCAGTTAATTATGCAAGAGTTAGTGCTTGGGTTATTGTTTCTGTCCTAGCTTGCACATATCTGCAAAAGCAATTTGCAGTGGCCATACTCTGACCTTCAGTGTACAGTTTTAGATGGGAAATAAGGGGTTTTGTGTTTTCTGGTTGGGAGATTCTGAATAATGACTTCAGCCTGGTTAAGCAGCTACAGTGTGGTTTGAACCACATAACAGGCAGCCAAAAGCCTTTCTGGTCTGTCAACAGCACAAATTCAAAAGTGAGTGTGGGGGGAAGTGGCCTTGATGGCGGTGATGGCAGAGGCAGCAGGGGGCTTATGGGGTTGACTGCCAGGCTGTCAGAGAGAGCTCATAAGTATGGGATTATTACAGGTAATGGAGATCAAATATTTTGATTGATGACATTTACAAAGCATTTATTAAGCGGCAAGTGTTAATTTGACATTGTGATTCCATTTATTTATTTATTTATTTATTTATTTATTTATTTATTTATTTATTTATATTTGTCTTAATTTTGAATCCCAGTCTTCTGCTGAGAAGCACCCACTGGCTAATTTTGTTTTTGGGTATTAAGTACAATAGATCGGCCAGTAAAGATTCTTTGTATCTTCATTCATTTATCGGCTCTCTGCTTGCCATCGTCATTCATGAATTATTTTCCTGACTTAGGTTTGCATGCAGATAAACCAGAAAGGAGCATTTTTGTTAATGCCACTGTCCCTGGATGGCAGCATTACCAAAAAGCCTCATGCAGTCGGATGCAGTATATGCAATATATGTAGTCCTGTTATTTTACTAAGGGTGTGGGAACCTCTTTTCATTGTCTTGCTTCCTAATTTTTTTCACAGAGGTAAGCCTCCTTTACAGTGGACAAACTTTGACCCTTTGGAATTCCTAGAAGAATTAAAGAAAATAAACTATCAAGTGGACAGCTGGGAGGAAATGCTGAATAAGGCAGAAGTTGGTCATGGGTACATGGACCGGCCCTGCCTCAATCCGGCTGATCCTGACTGCCCCGCCACAGCCCCCAATAAAAACGCAACCAAAGTGAGTACAGGCAGTGTCTTCTCAGGACGGGCAGAGAGAAAAAATTGATATTTCCCCCTATTCTTTGTTCTGTTATTTCCATTTTTAAGATTTCATTCTCAACGACTTTTGTGTGTGTGTGTCTGTGGAACTAAGTTTGTTTATAGAGCGAAATTTTGCTGTAAGATTTGCCATACGCCTCTCATTAGCCTTGTTTTTAATGTTCTCTGTGAAACAAACAAGCCCTGAGTGCACTGGATTTGAACAAGGCATGTGACCTGCCTGCTGATGCCTGTAATTATGTAGCTGCCTTTCCGTTTTAGCCTCTCGATATGGCCCTTGTTTTGAATGGCGGATGTCATGGGTTATCCCGGAAGTACATGCACTGGCAGGAGGAGCTGATTGTGGGCGGTACCATCAAGAACAGCACTGGGAAGCTTGTCAGGTAATCCAGCACACGGGGAAATCCAAGCCACCTCGTTTTTGTCCTGGCCTAACAAACCACTTCCCTCCTGACATCTGCAAGTGTCATTGTATTAATATTTAACGGATACCGTAGCTAGCCGTGTGGTGTAATAGAATATTAGGAAATACTAGCAGACCAAACCAGCTCAAAAGGCACCGTATGGGGAAGTTTTCGAGAGATGTGTCGTTTTCATTGAGACTGTCATTCGTGACGGTGGGGTGTTAGATCTGCCCATTATGTAGAAAATAGGGGCAAGGGTAAAGCAGGCAAGAGACATTGGTCATAGCACAGAGAGTTAAATGGTGTGAGCTAGACTCCATCATAGCTTGTTAAAGGAAAAGACCAGCAAATGACAACTAACCAAGAGTTATCCTCTGCACTTGACTCCACTCCGTCAAGTGTCAGGCCCTCCATTTGAGATTTCACCCCTGGGAAAGCAGTCGTCTGGGATTTCTACACAAGCAAGCATGCAAGGGTGAGCTCAGCATATCTGGTCCAGCTATCTACCCCTCTACCCTTCCTTTTTCATTGAGTAGAAACAGAAAGGAAATTGCCTATTAATTTAATTTTGGGGGCTATCTGTAAAAGGTTTGTAAGGTTACACCTTTAGTATGGTACATCAATCTATTAAATACAATAACCATCCAGGTCCCATTTTAATGGAAACATGTGCTCATGTAGAAGGGTAGAGTGACTGCAGGTGAGTTGGGGGGGGTGCTCGTTTGGGATTTGATGCCATGAGAGCTTCCTGGGGGTGCTAACCTACGCCTTCTCACCCACTCCCAACCCCGTTGCAGCGCCCATGCCTTGCAGACCATGTTTCAGTTAATGACTCCGAAACAGATGTACGAACACTTCAAGGGGTACGAGTATGTGTCGCACATCAACTGGAATGAGGACAAGGCGGCGGCCATCCTGGAGGCCTGGCAGAGGACCTACGTGGAGGTGGGTCTCCAGCGTGCCAATGCCCACCTTTGAATCTGGGTTCAAGCCCCTTAGTGACTAAATACTTCATTTGAATGAAGTTTTAAAACTTTTTTTTTTCATTAGAATTTATGTTCAAAACATTATAATTCTGGGAACTTGGTGGTTGAGGGATGAAAATTTTTTTCCGTTTCCTTGATATTGAAAATCTTAATATCTGGGTGATGCCCTGATTGGGGTACCCTGAAACATTTTGAGTAACCAGTTGTGAACTCCAGAGCTAAGACATAATAGTGTTTAAAAAAACACTCAGCAAGAAAAGGTGTCTGGAAAACATTAGCAAGGCATAGAATCTGTTCACAGCTGCAGTCCTCTTGGTTAGGTCATGTGACAGGAGCTGGCCTTTGTTTCCCAAGCAGTGACCTCTACAAAGCTGCATGTGACCTTTTAAAAGTGGCCAGCAAATGAAGGGGGGAGGAGTGCCCGTAAGAATGAGTTGTTTTGGATTAAGGGGGAACTGATGGAGAGGGAACTACAGTCTTGTAGAGCTATGGAGAGGGGAATACAGTCTTCCACAGTGAGGAATAAAGAGCCCAGAGGGACCTGCAGTGGCCGGCTCACCTCAGCACCACTTCTCATGTGATTAGCAGTCGCCTTCACTGTCCCAGGCCCAGGGTCATTTAATGTTAGCCCAAGTTCAAACCTGAATCACGTAGAGCTCTTTATAATGCATCAGAATAAAAGTAGGGGTTAGGTGGAGGGGACGTGCATCCCCCACCATCTGTGCTATGGGAGCTCGTTGAAGCCTTCATCCCACCTGGGACTTTTATGTTGTGACCACAGGTGGTTCATCAAAGTGTCGCCCAGAACTCCACTCAGAAGGTGCTATCCTTTACCACGACGACCCTGGACGACATCCTCAAGTCCTTCTCCGATGTCAGTGTCATCCGAGTGGCCAGTGGCTACTTACTGATGGTAACGATCAATTCAATTCTCCTGGGGATTTGGGGGTTTGTTTTGGTTTTTGGTTTTTACCTTTCCATGACGGCTCCTGCTTTTTAACTGCTCTTAACACACATGTGCATCTAAGAGAGAGAGAGAGCTGGGGGCTTCATAACAGTTGTAAAAGTGGTCGTGTAAAGCATTTTTTCCCATTTGCAGTTTGCCCATCTTTGACTTGTATCATTTCGTGTGATGTCTGTAATGTAAAGTTTTGTTGTTGGGTTTCATAAGTTCTACCTTTTGATTTGGGGTGATGGGTGGGGGAAAACATTAGAATCCTTACACATTCTAATGTTTGGCTTTTGTTTTGTGTCTCCCCCTCCCTCTCCTTCCCCCTCCTCCCATTACCCTTCATTCCTTCATCTGCCCACCCCCCAAACCCCACCCATGGTTCTGCTTGCAGCTTGCCTATGCCTGTTTAACCATGCTGCGCTGGGACTGCTCCAAGTCCCAGGGTGCCGTGGGGCTGGCTGGCGTCCTGTTGGTTGCACTGTCAGTAGCTGCAGGATTGGGCCTGTGCTCATTGATCGGGATTTCCTTTAACGCTGCAACAACTCAGGTACTAAAGGAGCCATCCGTCCATTTTGTTGACCGACGTCCCTCCCCGGGCTCCGGCCTCCTGTGTGGCCTTTTGTGTCTCCATGTTACCGAAAGGGTCTTCCAGCCTTTTCCACTAGAATGCCACATTTCTCAGGGGTGTTGTGTCTGTAAATGGACCACTCCCACTCAGCAGTGAGCAGATCTGAATGGGCTTGTTGTTTAGTCGAGATGCTTCACTTATCGGTGGAATTTAGATCATTTATTAGAGCAATGGTTCTCAGACTTCAGTGTGCATTAGAATCACCTGGAGGGGTTGCGAAAACTCAGATTGCTGGGTGCCACCCCTGGGGATTCTAACTCATTTGGTCTGGGATGGGGGTGGAGAATTTGCATTTCTAACCAGTTCCCAATGATGCTGGTCCAGGGATCATGCTCTGAGAATCACTGCTTTAGATGAGTTCCATTCTTTCCCATTTAATAACTTTTAAAAAATCATTGTATCTAGAGCTTAGAAACAGAAATGTACAAGATCTACTCTGAGCTAAAACTGCTAGGCTTTGGGGATTTAACTATCAGATAAAACTAAATCCTACACCATGAGTTAATGTAAGCTGTCCTTTGTATAGCTACTGGTGGTGCTGGTGGCAATGTTTTAAATAGCCTCAGGATTATCAGAATTGGACCTCACATGTCTAATGCACTGTCCTCTGTTTCCACTGTAGGTTTTGCCATTTCTTGCTCTTGGCGTTGGTGTGGATGATGTTTTCCTTCTGGCTCATGCATTTAGTGAAACAGGACAGAATAAAAGAATCCCTTTCGAGGTAATAGAAAAAAAAAAGAAGAAAGCTTCGGGAACAGCCAAAGCCCCCTCTGTTCCTGAGTAGTTGTCCTTTCATTTTTCTCAATCTGGCCCAGTAAATAATTTAGTCCCAAGTCAGAAGACAGATCACTGGCTCTAAATAAGTAAGTTAGAAGAATCTCAGGAAATGTATTCCAAACTGCACATTTGTTTCTCTGTTTTTGTTTTTTTGGGGGTCACTTTGTCCTCACCCCACCCCCTTTTAAATCATACTAAAAATTTACTTACATCATTAACTTGCAGCTTTGTGTTTTAGATGGTAATAATTATGAACAACACATGACTATGTGGATCGTACTGAAAATGTTTTCAGTGCCGGTGTTAGCGGGGAGGCAGAGCTACTCCTTCCTTATTCCCTGACGTCACACTATAAACTGCCAGTTGTCTTGTTTGGCTGTGTATTTGAATCGTTCACCCAGCCTGTGCTTTAAGGGAACCCTGCCCTGTGTAGCTCTCAGCACTGTGGTTTCTCGCCCGCAGGACAGGACCGGGGAATGCCTGAAGCGCACAGGAGCCAGCGTGGCCCTCACCTCCATCAGCAATGTCACAGCCTTCTTTATGGCCGCACTGATCCCAATTCCCGCCCTGCGGGCCTTCTCCCTCCAGGTGAGTTTCCCGTAATTGAACCTGTGTGAGCACGGCACTGACACTGACCATCTCCATCACTGGGCTGGCAGTCCCGTTGCCAGGAAGTGATGTAGCATGCCAGCACTGGGGACTCTTCTGGGCATATGCTTCATTAAGCAGGAATCCTGACATTCCCTGTACAAAAGTTCAGGGTCCTTTCCTTCCTTGGAAGCCCCGTAGCCCAGATGCCCGTGGCCTGGGTATCCTCAGGACCTAGTGCCTTATGGACTTGCCCTTTCCTTCGCAGTCCAACTAAAATGGTCCCAGGGCCACTCCAGTAAGCCCTACTCCAGATGGCAGGAGTCCTCTGACTCATCCACAGCACAGCCCGCTTCTTGGCCCTTCCAATTCTAAACCCCACCAAATTTCTGTGCTTCCTGCCCAAGCATGCCACCCTCTCCTGAGTTCCTAAAGCAGCCTCAACACAAGGGAGCTGTGTGGAGCAGACCCCATTGATAAGAGAAGGTAGCAGTGTAGCCCAGGCTAGGTGACAACATAAACTTGAGTATTAGATACCACTGCAGGGGAGGACGTGTTGGCCTTGTTCTGCCTGCAGGAGGGTTTGTTGGGTTTTTGTCCCCTCCTTTCCTTAGTTAGCTTCCACAAACTCGCCTTTCTCCTCTCCTCTTTCCTTTTGGTCCCAGACTCCCCTCTCAGGCTGCCCAGGAAAACTCAAAATTCCTCTCCCATCGTATGCAGAGCAATTTGGCTCCTGCATTGTTCTGCTCTTTCCTTCCAAACCAGGCCCTTTCACACCAAGAGGCCATCAGATATTTTTTTTTTTAAACAAAGAGCCAGCTTATGTGAATTGTAAGTATGGAGACTTCTCTAGACTGGGGCTGCAGCCACCGTCAGTCTGTGCTTGGCCGAAAGCACCGGCGTGGCTCTGCAGCTGACAGAAACCCATAGGAACCCAGACATCCATCAGGGTAGCAGATAAGGACTGCTACTTGGCCACTTTGTGGTTGTCCTGAGCCTGAGATGGTTTAGGGTTCTGATGTCTCATGGATATTATTGAAGTTTGGTGAACTAAATTCAAATTTGAAAGCTTCCACTGTTTTCTAAGACATATGCAAAGGAGCAGTGGCATTCCCTATCTTTATTTCTTTTTGTTTTGCAATATGATATGTACTTCATGAGATGGTCAGGTTTTTCAAGGAAATAACTTTTGATGTTACTTTTTAAACTATTACTCCACTCAGTTTATTCATACTGCTTTACTCTCTTTAATCCTGGTGACCAGGAACAGACATTGACAAATGATAGAGTAGGCTTCTGTTTATATTTTTGTCAACATGTTTAGTTTTTGTTTTAGTCTTTATATTTGAATTTCATTTTACTAATTAACTGATAAGAGACCTAAGCAACTAATGATCCTACTGTGTTTGGGACACTAGACTTGTTTAATATGTAGTGTTAGATATAACATGAAAAAAGATTCTGTACCAATTACTATGACCACCAGCTCCCCAAAGAAGAAATATTTAAAGAAAATAAAATGTTCATTTTTGTGATATATAGAAATAGAAATAGAAAAAGTAAGCGAATAAGTGGATGAAGTGAAACCTGAAACTGGGATGAAAGCTCAGGAAAATGAAAAGATAACTAACTGCTCAATAATACGGAAGATAATGAAAAAATGGCTGCTGAATTACTGGTACAGCTGAAGCTTTAGAATGCTGTTTCGCACGGGCGCGCAGCTGCACAGCTCCCTTTGATGTCTTGTACTTGGTTCATATGCAGTAGATTCTGGAACTGAGAAGTTGTTCTAGAGTCTTCGAGCTGTGGGACCCTTTCTCTTACCTCTCTCCTTCCTGCTCACCTGTTCCCTCACTGTTCTTTGTCTGCTCTGCCTCACGCTCCTTCTTTTCTTCTTGTCCTCTCTCATTTTCTCTCGTCTTCTCTCAGTACACACTGATGCTTCATCAAGGCATACTCTCCTCTAATGGTATCCTATGGTGTGGTGGTCTGAAACGCTACATGAGTTTTCCTTACGTCTTTTAGAAAATCCAGTACGCTAAGTTCTTCCAAGGTAAGCACCTGACTGAGATGAAATGAGTACTGTTGGTTTTGCATTTCTATTCCGAGGCTCTGGAGTGTCACTTTAGAAAGTTGCTTCTGTGGCTTCCAGGAGTCCTCATTTATTAAAGAATGGCTTCCCATGACACTGGCTCATTCCCTGTCAAACAAACAAACAAACCCCTATCCCACCAAAAAGAGGAAACTGCAAGAAAAAAGAAGAATGTGCCATGAGTTTGGCAGTAGTTTTCAGATAATGTTTTGAAATGTATTTACGTCGAAATTGACCATTACGTAGTTTTCTTACCTTTAGTGAACTGTGTTAAGTTGTGACTCTGGGTATTCATTTGTGTTCGTATTTTTAGGATGCTACAGAGTAAGCATCAAAAGGGAGAGACCCAAAGAGGTTCTATCCGATAATAAACCTATGTTAATTTAGGAATTTTCCCTGTGGAACTTTTCCAATTTTGTAGCCTTACCAAAATATGTAGAATTCTTTTCCCCAAATAAACTGCCCCGTCCCTCCTTGTCAATCTCCATCCATCTGTCCTAATGCCACTTCTTACCAGAAAGCATGGCACTGGCTGTAATTCTTTGGGAACTGATGCCCTGTGTTGGAGCTTTGCTGGTAACTGAATGGTGTTTGTTCTTCACTGAAACTCCCGGAACTGAGTGCCTTATTGTTCCAAATGGTCGGAGGCTTGAGATGAGGGCCCCTCTAGGCAGGGCCAGTGCATCACTGTGCTCTGCAAGTGTCTCAGTGGGGCCACCATAGATGCTTAGCAGGAAATGGGACGCTTCCTTGAAGCACAGCAATTAGAATTGACAGTGCACAGTCCTCCCTGTCATCTTTTCAGGTTTTCTTACAATTTCTTAAATTCCCCTTTGCTCCACTTCTCCTTGACTGAGAATTCCTTGCTGTTTGTTTTTACTAATTTGGTGCACTTTAGGAGATGTTGAAGTTCTGCTATTTTCTCATCAGAAAAGATCCTCCCTGTGTGTGTAATAAGTCATTTAACAGTGAGGGTAGATGGGACACTGCTTGGGGCTTCTCTCTCTCATTGCTCCAAGACACGGGAGCAAGATATGCCCATCAGATTTCGTCATTGTATGAGGCTGGTACCAGACATTCCCCAGCCCCTCCGGAAAGTACCGGTGTTGCTCTAGCCAGGACCCCTTGGCCGTGTATGTACACCTGTGTGCCTTGTCTTTTCAGTCTCTCTGCCCTCGTCCCTAGGAACTTTTGTTCAAACCGAGATGCCCAGAGTTTGTCTGCATCACGCTCCTGAGTTCTAGACATGACTGTAGTAAAAAGAAAAAGCTGAAAGGATTCGACCTCTACGATTGAGTTCTCCTGGAAAATCAGACCCATTCTTGCCAGCCTCCCTATTGTCTGCTTGGTCAAGTGTCGGAACCCAGCCTATGCCTCCCTTCAGGAGGTGACCAAACCTAATAGGTCTCCATCTGGCCGAGTACTTAGGCGACAGACCTGAGTTTGAATCCCATTGACTCAGGAACCTCACGCAGGTGACCCTCCTCTGCACCAACAGGTCTTTATCGTGTAATAGAGTGTCTGACTCCTGGTTGCTGTAGGAATCGAATGATCATGTGTAACTAACTACCTGATCTCCCATGGCTCCCCCTTTCTCATCCCCAGAGTTTTTAAACCCAGCAGCGCTGAATGGCCTGTGCCAGGTGTGTCCCTCAGACACTGCCTTTTGGGCTTCCTTCCTCCCTGGTCCTACCAGAGTCCCCTTGTCTTCTGCGTCTCCCTGAGGAATCTTCCCTGATCACTGTCCTCACCCCCACCCACCCCACATGCACTCCCACCTGCCTGCTGTCCCCCTGTTCTGAGCTGCTGTGGAACGCAGTGCATGCTTTTATTATACCTTCATCAGCCCGAATTGTCATTTGTTCATGGGTCTGGCTATGTCAGTCCCTGAGAGCAGAGTTTCGTCGTATTTATCTTTGTGTCTCCAGTACCCAGCACGGTGTCCTGGCTTTTCTTTTAGAAGTATTTGTATCTTAGATGACTCCTCTAGTCAAAAGAGTGATTTGCTTATTAATATTAGCCCATTGGGCAGGGTTTTAAAGTACCTAATGTATGTTAGGGTAGTAAGTGAACACATTCATATATTTTGACTTGATGAGGAATTTTCACGGCAGACTTTTTAAGAAGAGAGGGGTCAGGTCCTTTTTAAAAGAGCCTCTTGGTTATTTTTTGGTTTTGTAGACTTGACAGAGAATTCATTCTTGAAAGGCATCTCTCCAGAGCTCAGGTTTGCAATTTCACCTTGAGCGTAAATTCACAATTGCTATCCAAAGCCCTTTGCGAAGTTTTCCTCGGATTTTAATTGTCAGTTATAATCCTGTTTTCTTCTCTCGCCCTGAGACGTGTAGCCAGTTTGAGAAGGTTTTAGAACTAAACAGTTGTTTGAAAAACCTCGCAAGAGTTTATAATTTTTTTTTAAATTTCTGGTGATTCCTTGGTTCCTTAGCATTCCGGTTGCATTTTTCTTACCGTGCTGCTGCTGCTCTCGCTGCTTTTGTGAACGGGCGAGCTCTTTCAACTGTTCTCCATTGGCTTTCCCCGGTTAACAGCCCAATTGTGTAATTTTTACTGGGTCAGCAGGAGATTTGCCAAGGCACCACAGAATCTAGCCTGTGTTTATTCTAGGTTATGGAGTGACTTTTGAATCTGTCCTTATTTATTCTGCATACTATAATCACACACAGGAATTTCTCTCTGCTTAACTCTCCTTGACCTTTTGTGTGACTGCGCTCACTCACCCCACAAGCTGCTCCAGAGGCTATTTGGAATGTGCCTATTAAAAACCTCAGGGGATGCGTTTGAAATTTTATTTCATGTTTTAAAGACGACATTTTGATATACTCAGTCTCCTTTACATATACATTTTCTAAGTTTAAAATCAAGGCTGCATGGACTCTTAGATGTGCTCTGAGAAGGAAGTGTTCCTTTTGGTTTTAAATTAAAACATTTCAAGTGTCTTCTGTTTTGCCTTTGTAGATCTGGTCTGGTTAGGATGCTAGCAAGACAGGAGGATACCAGTTTAGTTCTTATATTTGTATCTTACAGGTTCATGGGAATGATTATTAGCAATGGAAAGGACCAGAATGATGGGGGCTAGTCCAGTCAAATGGTCTCGTAATGATGAAAAAGAAGCAAAGTGATGAGAGACTTTTAACATCCATTTCAAGTTTAAACACTTCAGTAGGAATGTGAAAGAAATATGTTTAAAATATCTTTATTTTCAAAGCAATCCTCTTGACTGGGAAGAGACATATTGGTGACCTATATATTTTCTTTTCCCCCCTGCTCCCAGGCGGCTGTAGTAGTGGTGTTCAATTTTGCTATGGTTCTGCTCATTTTTCCTGCAATTCTCAGCATGGATCTGTATCGACGTGAGGACAGGAGATTGGATATTTTCTGCTGTTTTACAAGGTATGTTTTCTGGCTGCGGTGGCCCTTATTTGTTGGGTGCAGAGTGGTGGTGTGTAGAGAACGCTGTAGCCTGTGGACTTGGAAGGAAGTGCACTTAACAGGCCTTGTACCGGTGTGATGGAGGTAAGGGAGACCGTGGACAGAGGATGCTTCCTTGGGGGGCATAGCAGAATTACTGGGGTTCTCTGCTCCCCTAAGCAAATATTCTCACAGACCTGAGGTTATGATACACGTGATTATTTATTTCTATCATGAACCATTATTGCTCACTATTGGGAGTGTGTCACGTCTGTGGATTAGGGCAAAGCAAAAGTAGAAAATACCCACCTGGAAAAAATACAGCCCTTTGGGTGTTTTGGTTGGTTTTTTTTTTTTTAAGGAATTATTCTTTGAAGGGGTTCATCAGCATGGAACTTGATTTCGTCAGCCAAATTCAGGGTCAGCCATCCATTGGGCCTCCTTCGACTTACTCATGTCTGTGTCCAGATAGGGAATTCAGGTGATATTTGCAAAGTTCAACAGTATGCAGTTTCTCTCCTAAATCAGAGCTGTGTAAAATGGATATTTTCGGTCACTGGCAAAAATGAGAGCACCATTTCCCTGTTTCATGGCAACACAGTTCCCCCCTCTTTCAGCCCCTGCGTCAGCAGAGTGATCCAGGTGGAACCCCAGGCCTACACGGAGACTCACGATAGCACCCGCTCCAGCCCCCCACCCCCCTACAGCAGCCACAGCTTTGCCCACGAGACACAGATCACCATGCAGTCAACGGTGCAGCTCCGCACAGAGTACGACCCCCACACACACGTGTACTACACCACCGCCGAGCCGCGCTCCGAGATCTCTGTGCAGCCCGTCACCCTGACGCAGGACACCCTGAGCTGCCAGAGCCCGGAGAGCACCAGCTCCACCAGGGACCTGCTGTCCCAGTTCTCCGACTCCAGCCTGCACTGCCTTGAACCCCCTTGTACCAAGTGGACACTCTCCTCTTTTGCCGAGAAGCACTATGCTCCTTTCCTCTTGAAACCAAAAGCCAAGGTAATGTGCCCGAGCAGAGTACCCTTCCTGTCTCTATGCAGTAACAGGATAAGCTCCTTGGGAATTCATCAGGTGTGATCTGTTTCACGCCTCCTAAGGAGGCGGTCCATTGAGAGCGGGGTACCCTTTCAATGAGCTCATCTTCTATAGGAGTGAATCTCTGTGCAGCCAGTGTTTCTATGAGGTTAGATCAACTCCTTACATTTTAAACATTGTATTCTTCGGGAGGTTGTTTAACAATGTGATGACTATGATTTTATGGTTTCCCCCTGCGAGAACGACCCCTACATGCTACGTCAGGGCCAGTGTGGAGGTAAAAGTGAGGCATAAACCAAACAGCTTCTCTTTGTCAAGAGAGAGTCGGTTATGTGCCTCGGGGTCTGACCTCGAGCCTCTTGTTCTGTTGCAGGTCGTGGTGATCCTCCTTTTCCTGGGCTTGCTGGGGGTCAGCCTTTATGGGACCACCCGAGTTCGCGATGGGCTGGATCTTACAGATATTGTGCCTCGGGAAACCAGAGAATATGACTTTATTGCTGCACAGTTCAAATACTTCTCTTTCTACAACATGTATATCGTCACCCAGAAAGCAGACTACCCGAATATCCAGCACTTACTTTATGACCTTCACAAGAGTTTCAGTAATGTGAAGTACGTCATGTTGGAGGAAAATAAACAGCTTCCCAAAATGTGGCTACACTACTTCAGAGACTGGCTCCAAGGTAAGATGCTGCGAGAGGGCACTCGTCCTCTGTAAGCGTTCACCGTTTGGTCTTGGGTGTGTTCATCTCCCACAAGTCCCTTCTGTTCCCTTGATTCAGGTGTTAGATTATAATGTACCACTGGCATGTTTCTTCGACTTCTCTAAGTGCTGCTTCAAATTCTTCTTACGTAGACTAGTTCTGGGGTGGCCTCCCAAAACTGGCTCTTACCTATAAAACGATGCAAACAATTCGTCGAGTGACGCGGGAACTTCGGTAAGAATTTATGAGTGCACATTAGGAAATGGGAAAGCATGTTATAAAATATGGAGCTGGATAATTCCAGTGCTCTTTGAGGGGATGGTGGCTAGTTTGGTGACTAAGCGAAACAAAGTGTTGATGGAATTTCTAGACTGGCTCACTGCCAAATTATAGCATACTACACCACTAGACTTTGCATTGTTGGTGAATATCATTTAAAATTCCATATTTTGACCATCTTTTGATTTTTTTGTTTAAAATGCCATGAAGTAAGCTTGCATGCGTAATCACATCTCACAGTATTTCATAAATAATCAAATTCTGCTTTAAAATGCCTTTTTAGCTTCTTACCTTGCTCTTAGAAACGTTTCTAGGAACAAGAGTAGTCAGCTGGAGAAAAAAAAAAGATCAAAATTTGCTCCTAACTGCTGACTGAATATGAGTGTATTCAGTGATTCCAAGAACATCTGTTCATTCATTCTGTGTTGACACATGCAAAGTGAAGTGGAGAATCATGATAATTACCCACACAATTCAAGCAAAGATGCTGTTACTGAAATATCCAAATAATTATGGCCCCCAACATTGTTTTGGCTTAAGTTATCCAAATGATTGTCTTGATTTCCCACTTAATTAGATTTGTTTAAACACAAATTTAAGTGCCTTTTTTGGTCTTAACTCAATACTCTTGTATGTAAAGATTAAGTAGCCAGTTTGTGAGTTTGCATGAAATGGTAAACAACTTGAGTATGATTGAAAATTGTTCAGTACAGTTTCTGGCTTTGACTTATTTTCCTAAAATTTTGTTCATTATATGATTTGATTTTTTTTTTTTTTTGAGAAAGGCAAAGAGAACTACATGATATTAGTATTACTTTTCGACATGCTCCAAGATTAATTTGAATTTGTTGCAGGTCTTATTTTTCACAGTAGTTTGGGAAGCAGTGATTCTTTTTGGATATGTCAAAAGAGGACCAGACACTTGAGACATTCCCTGCTTTTCACTCCCCCCCCCCCTTTCCCGTTGGCCAAAGACATGCAAATAACTTGCCACAGATGACAAAGAGATCTGCAGTGCACTGCCAGTATCTGAGCAAAGGAGGGTTATTGTAGGATTGATTTCAGTGTCTTTAGCCATTCCTTTGGATACTCAGTATGGCCTTGCTAGGCGGAGGTGGGGAAGGGGGCTGAGGGGTATTGTCTCCAGGCAGTGCAGAGCTAACCTTTTTATAGCGGATTGTAAATTATCCCTGTGCTCCATCTTTCCAAAGACCTAAAGCGTTGGACTTGAGAACCTTTTTAAAAGGTTCATTTCAGTCATGTTTTGGTTGCTAAGGGGACACACAGCACCCACCTAGACCATTTAATGCTCCCAAGCCAGGGTCCCAGCCAGGCTTAGAATTAACTGCATTTTACTCTTAGGAGGTCCGGCTGAGCACTACACACAGAATGGCCATGCACTGAGACTGTCGGCTGCCTAGATGTATTTCAGGCATATTGAGTGGTTCCTCTGGTCCTCGAGCATTTTCTGCAAGGAAGCAGTTATCCTTGAATCAGCGTTCCTTCTAAACATTTTATGTGGTTGTTAAGTGATGGGATCCTCACTGGTTTTTTAATGGAATTACCATTTAAAACCATGTCACCCCACTGGTCTTCATCAACATTTCGATAGCTTGGGAGGTTTTTGAACTCGTAAACAATATAAAATGGCAATATGGAAATTATCCCACGTGCCATCTTTAAACACATGTAAATAAAGTTGGAAATATACACCACACTGTGCGTTATCATGTACAAATGGTGTTCATTTATATTTCACGTTGAATTATGCGAATGAAATTCAAATTAATGTTTTCTTTTTAGGGTCCCATAGCAAACAAAAATTGGCAGTTGGGATAATTAGCTCAGAACTTTTCACCAGGAAATAATTTTTAGTATAAGATATTTAGAATGAGGAAAGTTTTACTAAAACTTTTCAAGTTTTGCTGTAAAAGAAGTAAAATGTCAGGTTCTTTTCTGCAGTTCGCATGTGTTGGGATATAAAATGTTGGCCAGGGGGCAGTGGATGCAAATCCTTGTCCCTTGTTTTGTGTCCAGAATCATATTGTGTGTTCCAAACCACTGTTACTTGACCTTTTGGTAATTAGTCAGAAAATAATATGCTAATTATAAGGACTTAACGTCTCTGTAAAGTCGGTGACTATTTCTCATTCATCTTTGTATTCCAAGTAGAGTGTCGTTGGGGGCCAGCAGCATGGAGGATGAATTGACCTGAATTGCCAGTAAGGTGGACCTCCCAAATTGGATCTTTCTATCTTTGTTTCACTCTAGGGTGTCCCCAAATTCTTAGTGCACAAGTGTCTTAAAACTGCACTGAAGAGTTTTGAGACCTACCTAGTTTACCACTAGACATCGTCGGTACCCAAGTTAATTCTGCTAATCTTACCTGTGTCTTCCACAAATCCTTCCTGGGCACCACAGAGTGTTCGGGGCAATTTAGAGCTTCAGTGGTTCCAGCCAACTCTGGAATAAGGCAGCCTGAGTCCAAAGCTTAGCTCTAACACTTGCCTGCTGCTGGCCCTCATCAAGTGACTTGACCTTTCCAAGCCTCAGTTTCCTCATCTGTAACATGGGAACACTGGGGCTAGCAGGGCCATCTCACAAGGTGGTTGTAGGAATTAAGTGAAGGGTGATCGGCGTAAAATGCTGAGACAGCCTGGTGACGCTAAGCAAGAGCGGTGACACTGAGCATGAGCAGCTCCTTAGGATCAACAGGTCAAGAGGGAAAGGGTTAAAAGACCACAGAAGCCGTGACATGATGAAAATTCTATTATAGCGAGGAAAGCAGACCAGGCCTCCTTTTTTAGGGGGGTGGCGTTGTTTTTCCTCTCCTGTTTATTTTTTTCAAAAACGGGGGGAAAAAAAGGCTTTAGGTAATAAAATAACATCTGTTCAATACAGCTTGTTGTGTGCATGCCTTGCTATGAAAAACAGTCTGTGTGAGCATTGGGGGTGTGCCGTCCCGGTGGTCTCCCTGCCTGCCACCCCTCCACTCTCGCCCCCTAACAGGCTCTTCTTTCACCACTGAGCCCACAGCCCTCACCCCCAAATTGTTCATATAAAAACAATGCCCACAGCAATGTCGGAAGGAAGGTTTAGTTTAAAAAGGGGGGGGGCAGGGTCCTGTGCTTCACACACCACCCCCCCTTACTGCAAATCTCAGGAGCTTAACCATTTCCATTGATGGAACCCAATTTTTGGGGAGGGGGTGGGGGGTGTCTTTGAAGTCACTCAAGGCATATCGTGAAATGAAATAAACCCTTCTCACTGGCCATGTATAACCCATGCATGTGCAGCTTGTTCAAAAGATGTGGTTTCCTGAGCTGCTGGGGCTCAGGAGCTCTACTTGGGAGGTGATTTGGGGGGAGTAGGGCAATAGAAAGGAGGCTGGGGGTGTCAGAGGAGAGTGCCTGCACACTGGGATGGCTCAGACCCCAAGGCCAGGTCACCAGGGCCCTGTTTTCTCTTCCAACTCGCTTATCTCTCTACAGCTGTAGCCAAACCGTCAGGTCTGTAATGATGGTTTTGATTACAGAGGCCAAGCACAGCTGTGTGTGGTGGGCTGGTGGGCTTGCCCATCCCCCAAGCCCAGAAAGCTCTTTCCTTTCCCTCCCCGGGCTTGCGGTTTGTCATCTGTTCTCACAGAGCCCCCTTGTATTGGCCTGTGGCTTCCTGTTCTCAATCTGATCCAAATTTACCCTGTGAGGTATTTCCCTCTGCACACACGCGCGCACAAGCTCTCTGCCTGCCCTCTCCTGCACACCCCCTCTTCTGAGGAAGGGTGGCAAAGAGGAAGAGAACAGTCGAGAGTGAATAGGTGTTGGCTGTGATCTTTACACAACCTGGCAGCAGATCCCACAACTTGTATTAGCTCCACAAGTTGAACAGATGGAACAAATTGACAGAATCGTGTTCACTCACCCTGGGCTTGAAGCAGCTGAGTTGCTGTTTGAAGTTGGGAATTTGAATGTGCTTTTCCCCCCTCCCAGTGGAATTTCTGGTTGTATTGAAGAATCCATGGCTCAGCACCCGACGGTGGCATGAGACCATTAATGAGCCTGGTGTGTCTTCCTTGCCCAGCCAGCCAGCTCTCTCGTGCTCCGGCTTTTACTTTGCTTTGGAATAGTCATGGAGGAAAAGGAGTGTTTTTTAGGGTAAAATGTGTATTTGTTTTCTAGAAGTGAATATTCCCTTCTTGCACCTTTGAAGGAATGATTATTAGCTACCTGAGGTTCATTCTTAAAAAATCTAATGTTACCACTTGAAGTTGAAGTGGAATGCAAGCAGAACACAGAATGCCCTTGGTTGATGTCCCTACCGCCCTGTGCTGCTCTTGGTCCTCAGCCACCTTGTTAAGATCAGGGTCCTTCCCGTGAAGAGTTACAATGTATTAAACACGCTTTTCTTTTTCAGGGCTTCAGGATGCCTTCGACAGTGACTGGGAAACTGGGAAAATCATGCCAAACAATTATAAAAATGGATCCGATGACGGAGTCCTTGCTTACAAACTCCTGGTGCAGACCGGCAGCCGTGATAAACCCATTGACATCAGTCAGGTACTCTTCCCACCCTGTACGGTGGAGTTCCCGAGGGCACTGGTGAGAGCTGTGTGCCCAGCAGCTGCCATACTGTTCCCAGCCTGTGCTTTCTGGAGACCTGAGCTATGGGGCTGGAAGAACATTGAGTTGGCTTTAATTCACTTCATCCCACCTGCTACTTGTGTGGCCTCCAGCAAGCCAGAGAGCCTCACTTTGCCCATCTGCCAAATGGGGACAAGTGTGTTACCTACCGTCAGAGCAGTTATCAGAACAAAGTGCAGTCAAGGCTCCTTTCCATGTTAAAAATGCTGTGTTGTATTGTTCTTTTTCAATTCTAATACTTGTTACCGCTTGGTCTTAGTTGTATTCAAATTTGAAAAGATGAAGTCATTGGGTAGCAGTCATTTGAGCAGAATTTGGGGTGGATGGATTAGGAGATCAGAGGTTACTAGGAGGATGGGAGCATTTGCTGCATTTGATTCCTTTGGGTCACCCTGGCCCTAGGAATAGAGAAGGAGCACCGACAGCTCTCTCATGAACAAGGCATACAGAAATGCAAATCCTCGGAAGATGAGCGGACTCACCTTCCTGCTCACGCCCCTTAGTAACAAGAGCTGTTCTTATGTGGCAGTCAAACCCCCAACTGCGTGTGTACCTTGGCTGTGACACTTTGATTCCAGCATATCCCTTTTAATTCCTCAGGTGTGTTGGTGAGTGTGTTTGGACCCTCCAGATTTCAAATGAGTCCAACACTACTACTGGCTTTCCCAGAGCCTGTTCCCTCTGCTCTTTGTAGCTTACTCGCTTCACCTTCAGGCAGAAAACCGTAATGCTAATGATCTTCCCAGCAGCTCTGTTTATTGTCTCCCCTTTTTTGCTGGCATTAAAGGTGACATTTACAAAGTACATTGTTCAGAGTTATTATGGAGTGTGAACTCGGTTCTTTACAGCAGCATGCAGCATGCTGTCAGGGTTGACAAGGATGTGGGCAGAGGAACCTGAGAGATAGCAGGGGGTCCCTGGGGGCTGGGCTGGGCTTCAGGGGCACAGGATGCCATAGGACAAAAGTGGTTGGGCCAGGACCGCCTCTCCGCACCCCTCCCGTCATTTCCTCTGCCTGGGAGGGAGAAAAGGGTGCTGCATGCACGGGGGCCATGAGCTGTACTATGTAATTCCAGAGACGGCTTGAAGACATACAGTTGTTACATATCCTGTGGATTAATTGAATCCAGATCTCTGAAATTTAGTTCTCTCACTCTCCTCCTCTCTCTTTCTTCCTTCACTCTTTTTCTGTTAACTGCTGTCACTGGTGTTTTTCATTTTGTTAAAAAAGACCAAAAGCATTGGAACCAGGCCTGAATGTAAACAGGAAAAAAAATACGTGTGTGTGTGTGTGTGTGTGTGTGTGTGTGTGTGTGTGTGTGTACGTGTACACCTATCTCAGTGTTTTTCACCTAAGCAGAGCCCACAAGGCCTACTTGAGAGGGAGCTAGGATTTGGCCGGCATAGGATGTGGCATCCTCTGTGTGACCACCTCTCTCAGAAATAAGATTACCCAGAAAGACTGGCTGTGCGCCAGTCCCCTCCACTTTTCTGGCGATGGGCATTTTTTGAATACACAGGTCATAGGAGGCTAGTGTTAGCAAAATTTATACAGATGTTGTTTTATTTTTATAGCTCTCCTCCATTTACTGGGTGGCATTTCCTTCAGTGTTAACAGCAGAGGTTAACTGCACACAGACGTGTATGGGGATTCTTGCCAGGTTTCTCCCCCTCCCTTCCTATAAATATGTTTCTCCAGATTGTTCATTCTCCGCCTTGGCTGCAGACAGTCTTTTAGCATGCAGATTTAATTGGTTCAGTTGATTCCCAGGCCATCTGCAGAACTGTGTATGTTATAAACACTCAAGAGTTTTGCATCCTCCGATCAGTGCATTTTGAAAGAAACCAAAGGTGTGCTGATGGGATTTTTTTACCCTTGCAAACAGTGGGCGTTCTAGTCTTTGTTAGGAATGCTGGTGCCGGGTTTTGCCTCTTCTCTCCCCGGGCAGGAGTGTGTTTCCCCCAAAACCCCTCCTGAAAAAAGGCCTCTGTTCTTCCCATTTTGCAGTTGACTAAACGGCGCCTGGTGGATGCAGACGGCATCATTAATCCCAGCGCTTTCTACATCTACCTGACCGCGTGGGTCAGCAACGACCCTGTGGCGTATGCTGCCTCCCAGGCCAACATCCGGCCTCACCGTCCTGAGTGGGTCCATGACAAAGCTGACTACATGCCAGAAACCAGGCTGAGAAGTAAGTAACCTCCTCCATCCAGGGCCTGAGAGTGTATGGAGACGTCTCACTCGGTTCTTCCAAGCTTGGTCACAGCCCTCGTCGGCTGACGCTGCCCAGGATTCAAAAGTGTAAACAGAACAATCTATTTCTTTTAGTTTCAAACTCCAGGAGACAAATGAGGATGTGTAATGGAATACAACCCATGCTCTATCACGTTGAGAAATAAGTCTGTAATCTCCGTTTGTAGCTTTAACTCTAAGACATCCACCAGGCATCTCACTGAATGCCAGCTGTTCCGTGTGAAAGCTGGGGACGCCTCCAGGTTGAGTGTTATTTTACTATTGCAGAGTTTTATCGCTGGGGATTATATGTTTATCTTAACTTTGTCAACTCTGGTGTTGAAGGGATTTTTGGCAAGTTGGGTCATTCCTGTAAGCCACCAAGCACCTGTACTCTGTCAAAGCTATTTAAGCCGGAGCAGAAAAACCTGTACACAGCAGCATCCTCTTCCTTTTTCCTCGCTGCCCCGACTTTGAAAGGTGGTGCTGTGTGGATTTAATTTGCATTTTTGTGAGAGATTATTAGTAGCTTATACCTTGGATAAGAGGCCGAGCGAAGACGCGAGAAAGGAGACGGGTCTGTGTGCAAACGTGGCTGGAGGGCAAGCGGGTTGTGCGTCCCCGTTTCTAAACCCCAGAGCCGTGTGGCAAGCAGCCAAGGCTTGTCTTAATGAAAATTTATAGTTGAGATTATAATAGGGCAAATCATGTTTAGCAAGTCAACTGAATGACCCCAAAGGGTCTGGAACACACAACGGCAGTAACTAAATGCTTGTTGTGTAAGGATTTCTTCCCCTGCTGCTGAAGACTTAGCATTGCATTGAAAAAGAAGCATGGAAGGTTTAAGTGTGTTAGAGCACTAAAAGGATAAGAAAGTTAAGCATTTTTCTCAGTAAAGCATGACTTTCGAGTTATTTTGTTCTCATAAGTGATTGAGTGAAACAGTTTGAACGTAGTATTTTTCGCTTGTGTCAGTTGAACAAAAACATGTTCCCACAATTGAATGCCTAAATTGGTTAGACCCATTACAAGAGTGACTGCTTCTAGAACATTGAAATGAAAGATTAAATAAATACACAGATCACAGGCTCCCCCACCAAAAAAAGTCAAAGGTCGATTATTTCTTTAAAATTTTTAAACCAAAGACTAATATTGTATAAAGACCCGAAGACTGTGTCATTGCTATTGCTTTGTCCTTTACGTTGAAACAAGTGCAGTAAGCAGACTTTCTTGCAGAGTTCTTTATCTGCTCGTTGTATTTATGGAGCATCTGGGGACGGCCAATCATGGGAATTTGTCACATCTCTTCCATGCCTGGGTCACAACCCCTTTGCCTTTCTCAGTGTTGCATGGAGCCCCTTACCCATGGCTCTCTCCCTGTCACCTCTGTGCAGTCCCAGCTGCAGAGCCCATCGAATATGCTCAGTTCCCTTTCTACCTCAACGGCCTGCGCGACACCTCGGACTTTGTGGAAGCAATCGAAAAAGTCAGAGCCATCTGTAACAACTACACGAGCCTGGGGCTCCCCAGCTACCCCAACGGCTACCCCTTCCTCTTCTGGGAGCAGTACATCGGGCTACGCCACTGGCTCCTGCTGTCCATCAGCGTGGTGCTCGCCTGCACGTTTTTTGTGTGTGCCGTGTTCCTCCTGAACCCCTGGACGGCCGGGATCATTGTGAGTTTATTCTGAGGGTCTTTGTGGAAGTCAAATTCCTTTCAGCATAGCTCTTTCTGCAGCCAGGAAGTTTTGTTTATGTCTGGGCCTCTGGAGAAGGGTATAGATTGCATCATCCGTGCTATATTTATTCTGCAGGAGGTGGTGAGGTCCATGGTTAGGTGGAGCCTTTAATGGCCTTCTTCTTGGGTCCCCTCTCCCTACAGCTATAAACGGTTTGTGTAGATACGGGAAGTTTTAAGCACACTTTCCGTTTAAGCATTTGTGAAATACACTCAAAGGATAACTTTTTTTTTTTCCCCCAAGTCATTTTGTGATCACCCCAGACCTAATATAGAGAAGGTTCTTCTAAACAGAGAGATAATTCAAGAAATTAGGACAGTGGTATATGAATCACATGGTTTTAGAGATGGTTTTGGGCATTGTGTGTGTTTTGACTTTTGGGAGAAAATGATAAACTAGTATTCCTAACTTATTTTTTTGGCATCCTTTCTCCAAGTATAATACTGTCAGATTTGAAGTAAGTTTCATGTAGAGTCTAATAAAATCATGGCAGTGTTTAAATTCCATGAACTGTGGTATAGCCTTCAAAAGGCCAAAATTATAAAACCAGAGAAAAGGTCTCTTGTTTCTGCACCATAAGTCTGTGCAGCAGGTATGTTAAAAGGTAAATGTTTAGTCTGTAGGAGTTTTCATGGTACTTAAGCAGTTGATATTGTCCATCTTTCCTTAGCTTATTGAAAGAAAGCAAAGGGAACTTTTATTAAACGTGTCCTCCTACCACCACTGCCTGCTTCCCCACCCCCAAGAAGGGAAGGTCATTCTGTCCGCTTTCATCCGTGCAGAGTTTATTGTTTTATTTGTATTTTCTCACCTTTGGCCCAAGAAACTCCAAAGTCAACCTCGCAGATTTTCTTTCCATCTCCTCGCAAATTTTTACAAGGCAGACGAAAGGCAAATAAAAGCTTTTCCTTGGATTTAACTGTTTGCTTTGTCCACCCCGGTTGCTCCACATTTCTTCAAAGTGAAGGGGGCTGTAATCTGACCTGTATTAGCTGATGACTCTCTCCTGCTTAACTTGCTCTCGAGTCATCCTCGCTTAGGCCACGGTCTTGCCAAACAAAAGCAAAGCTCCTTTTAGGTGAAAGAACTTTTATTCACCCCATCCTATCAGCATTCTTTAGGATGGAGGGTGAAGCAACAAAGGGGAAAGGTGGTCTCTGATGGTTAAAATCAAAATAGAAGGAAATACCTTGTTTTAAATCAAATTTGTAGCTAGTGGTGTCTCCATGTTTGTGTAGCTCTTCATAAATTGCTCTAGTGGAGTTCTGAACATTTTTTTGCTTTCTAGAGTAGGTTTATTGGAAAAACAAGTTGCAGTAGAATACTAAACTTCCCCTTTATGTACTCCTACTGTCCCAAAGTGGCTGTCCCAAAACTCTCCCGGCATCTCCCTTCCCAGCAGGGAGATGTTGAAGGAGGAAGTATAAACCGTTGTTGGAAGTTCCAGCAAGTCAGCCCTTTCGTTGTGTTTGGGTCCCAGGGGTTTCCCTCTGCCCTTGATTGAAGTGAGGCCCTGGTGGGACTTTTAACTCCTCCCTTGTTTCCACACCTAGAGTGTGTTTGTACCCAGCCACTCATCCTTGTGCTTTCTTACAGGTGACAGTCCTGGCTTTGATGACGGTTGAGCTCTTTGGCATGATGGGCCTCATCGGGATCAAGCTGAGTGCCGTGCCTGTGGTCATCCTGATTGCGTCCGTTGGCATAGGGGTGGAGTTTACCGTTCATGTTGCTCTGGTACGGGAGGCATTGCTACAGCTCCATGAAAAAGCACCGTAGTTCCTCTAGCTCCCGTAGTCTCCGGGTTGGGAACCTTTTCATCTCCTCCAATATCAAGGAACACACACTGTGCAGAGGCTTCAGACTGGCACAGACGTTCCCTAGGAGCGGCTGGAATTTGGCTGAACTCCTTTCCCTCTTGGGGAATCTAAGGCAAAGATCATCGAAGGTGAACTTTTGCTGGGCTGGGTCAACAAGAGGCAGTGTTGTCAGTGTGTTTGAGGGAGTGAGCCAGGAAGGATTCTGTTTATTTGGCATTGTCATTAGTGTCATCACAGGTCCTGAAGTTGTTGACTGTGCTCCCAAGACAGATGGTGTGTGCGCGCATGCTCATGCTTGTGACTACACACAACATTTAAAACCACAATAATAAAGCAAGGATAAAATGAGACCACACGCACAGGCTTCCTGGGGATGGCATAATTGAGGGCGAGGCAAGTTGGCAGGCGAGGAGATACACTGGGGCTGGTGAGCAGAGGCGCAGGTGCTGAGCACAGAGGAGCTACTCTCCCACCTGAGCCCACCCAGTTCCTTCGACCTTCCCAGCCTCCAAGTACAAGAACTGGTATCGCTCTCAACAGGAATTCATTTCCTCTCTCTTCCTGTGCCCAGTCCTGTGAATGCTTTGTTGGAGGAAATTAAACTTCAGAAGGAGTCTTAAGTCGAAGAGACAAGCTCATTGTCTGTACTTATCAGAGAATTATTCAAAAGCCTCACAGCAGTGTGTAAATTATGTTCTGTCTGCACTGTGATTATAGTCTAAGTCCTTGGGTATTGGTGGGCATTCAGTGAAGATTTATTAACTGGATAAATACTGACATTTGGAATGCCCTAGCTAGGAAACTGAGCATCGGACTTTGGATCTAATGTACTTTCAGCCTTGGTTTTGCAATCTGCATTGATTTCCTTTGGGCTCGGGACATGGCACAAGTGTGTCTGTACGTATGCTTGCGCCATGTGCCTCCATAGTCCTTCCACAGGAGTCTCTGGGTCATTTTTATGCAACTTAGAGATTTTACACTTTTGTGTTTCAAAAGGAATGTTCTGTTGAAGTGGACCAATTTTCCTCCCAGAGTATAATGAGAAGCTGATAAAACAGAGACAGTGTTCTCTAAATTTCGAGCCTGCCCAGATGACTTCATTCACCTGGGAGGAGGGAGAGAGGGTTTTTTAAAAAAGAAGACCCCAACAGCCTAGAGCTTAGAAACCCATTCTAATATCATTTTTTCAAAACAGGAGAAAACATTGCATGTGAGTTAAGAAGCCATTTTATTCTGATGCAAATGGAACTTGGGTAGCTTGCATTGCAAACACTGGCAGATCTGTCCTGGAGGAGATTCTTACAATGGAAATGCACAGTGCAGTCTTTAACTGCAGGGGCACCCCGGGTCTCTGCCCATGAGGCGGCATGAACAGGAATACCCACACGGGGGTTGAGGAAACAATTAGGGAATGCCTCTGCTGCTCATATAACACTTAAGTTCAAGAACCTAAGGCATCTGGAGCTATCTTGGCTCTGGGAGCAGCAGCCCCTGCTCAGTGCTTCGAGCCCAAGTCTTCATTCCGAGACTCTGCACTCAGGCTATGGTATTCTCACCATAGCCTATGTGTGGACATCTTATTTACAGCGGGAAGTTACTGCTCTTACAGGATTTGTAAAATGATGGACTAAGGTTGTGGGAGAGGACTCTTCTTCCATGAATGTCTTCAAGGAATTGAGGGGTTTCTGTTAGTTCTCTGTTTCAATAACATAAGTTGAGTGCCAAAGGATAAACCAATGTGACCTTATGACCTCATGGCCCAAGTACAGCACAAAGTGACATAGTTCCATACTGTCTTGGTGTTTTCCTCCCAGGAGGAAAAGACAGCTAGCTCAACCCTAAAGTCTCCCGGCTGTGAAAGAGAACACAAACACACATGTAGAACCCACTTGAGAGGAAAGTACAAACCCTCTGCACACGTTGGTACACTTGTTTCTCGTCGATTAAGGAAGATGAGCTTTGTGTCCCTCCTCTGCAAGGGGCATACGGGGAGATGGGATGCACCCTGCAGTGTGTTGCAGGCCAGGGTTCTTAAGGAGCTGCGGCCTGCAGAAGCTCCTAGCCCTCTTCTCAGCATGCCCAGAGCAGCCTGAGCTTTCAGGGAGAGAGAAAACATGTGCCAGGGTTCCTTCTTGCTGGGTTCCTGCTGTGGGACCATGCAGGGTGTAGCAGTAACAAACCCACATTAAATGGGTCCTGGTCACATTCTCAGCTGACAGTCAGATAACACCGGAACTTACTCTCTAAAGATGCCATTTGGTAAAACAGCGTTCTTGGCCTAGAAGAGCTTTAGAGAATGCAAAGGAGGCTGGATGTGTCCACACATAATCCAAAAAGACTTGACTTAAATTTACAGTCCTGCATTTTTCTTGAGATACCTCCATGGTGCTCAGATGGATTACAAACACATTAGGTTGAACACAGTGACAGAAATTGTAACCTCGGCATATTCATGTGGAAATATGTATTTAGGACCCAGTTGCACGCGACACTGAGCTAAGTCCATTCAGAAGTAAGATCTTGACGTTCCAAAAAGCCAGGCAAAATGTGGTTGCTTTCACAACTGGAGGTCTCCCATGTGAGTGGTGTGAGAGAATTTGAGCAGGGGGGAGAAAAGTCGAGGGTGAGTAGCAGTGACAAAAAGGGAACATTTTGCTGAGTTTTTTTAATAAATGGTTTGGTTTTTACTTTCAACTAAATATGCTTTCCATCTTCTTTAGTTGTTGTTATTCAACATTTACATCAACACCCGGTATGACCAAATATCATGAACAGATTGTTTTAGTGTAAGCCTAGATTGAGCCAGTTGAGTCACCCCGATTAAACACTCCAAGAACTAAGCAAGAAGGTCTGAGAGGTTCTGCAGAGACAGAAAAGCAGCGTGTAGAATTTCAGACAAGACTGATTGCTGACCAGGTCAGGTCTAGGACTGATCGTCCACACTCCTCTCGTTGCACAGGCCTTTCTCACGGCCATTGGCGATAAGAATGGCAGGGCCGTGCTTGCCCTGGAGCACATGTTTGCACCTGTTCTGGATGGCGCTGTTTCTACTCTGCTGGGAGTGCTGATGCTGGCGGGATCGGAGTTTGATTTTATTGTCAGGTAAGCAGGAGCAGGAGAGAAGACTTCCTTTAAAAATCGTTTCTTCCTGTGGTCTCTGTTGCTTATTTCCTTCTGTATCTGGTAGATCGCAGCATGTCTTCATTGTGACTCAACTCCCCCCTGCCCCTCCCCAGCTCGATTGAGGTATAATTTATAATAGGCAAATAAAAATCATACATCTTTAAGGTATACAACATGATGGTTTGATGACCACAATCTGTGTTGCCACTTTCTTTTAAGTGTATTATCAGAGATAAGCTGAGAAGTGCAAAGACAAGCTCTCTTCTAGGGCCATTTTGGGGAGAAAAGATGGAGGGTTTGGAGCTGGCAGCAAAGGCAACTCCACAGCTCGAGACCAAAGTATCACCCACTATCCCAGTTATTGGTATTCCAGGTTGGAAATAATGTGCCCAGATTTCAGACTCGAATTCCCACTAAGATTTAAGATGCATTTAACCTGTGACTTTAGTATGAAATTTTGAAAATCCAAGCCTGGTTTGGATACTTGTCTTTGGATCTCAGGGCAAGCAGTTTCTGGTGAATTGAATGAAGAATGTGACTTTGTGAAGGATAAAAGGGGAGCAAGTTTTCCTTTTGAAAGAATTTGAGAACAGCAGGGCAAGGCCATTTGCTTCTGTGAACAGCCTCCGCGGCTTTGTGAAGCAGCTATTCTTGGATATAACACTGCTGCTACGCAGAGGGGTTGGACCAGAAGCACCAATCAGTAAAAGATAGTCCAGAATTACAACCGCTGAACGAAATGTGAGAAATGGCTGGATTATTTGCTTCCGTAATCTGAAGAGAGAATCTAAACAGGCTTTCCTGGTTTGTGTGTCTGTGATAGGCCTTTCGTTTTCAAGTAGAAAGAACAGGGTTTTCAGTCTTAGCCAGTTTAGGATGGAAAAACCATCAGTCTATTGGTGTGTGGCGTACCCCATTGGGCGGTCCAGCATCCTGGAGCCCGGCCTTCCTAGAATGAGTACCAGAGTTGGCCCGCTCTCATTTCGGTGTAGGGTGAGTGAAGACGTGAGATATCTATGACAGTGTAGATCACACTTTTCAATCCATAACGTGCTTATAAGTTATCTGTCATCTGTGGCTCTCTGTAAACACAGGTCGGGTTTCGTAGGAGGTGGGAGGGTGTGGTGAACAGAACCTGGGTGTGTAGCCAGCTCCTGGGTGATGCCCATGCTGCTGGTCTCAACACACTGTTAATCACTTAACAAGCCAATTAGTACATTCTTGTTTACCAGTACCAGATAGGTATACGCCTAAACCAGATCAAGGTTTGGGTCTGGCTTTTGTTTTAAGCTGTTAATTTGATGACTTTTCCTTTATTTCCTTAACATGCATTTATTCGGGCATTGGTAGTTATTTCTTCAGTATAAAAGCCCTACGCCAAGAGTTTCTTTTGCATAATTTCTCATTTGACACAACGTGACAAGCCTTTTCACACAACAGCAAGTAACATGGGACCCCGTCCCCCTCCATGTAACTTATGGAAGAGCTGAGTTTACAGGCAATTCAAAACCATGGGAAACGCAGGGTGTGACGGGATTTCAGAGGCTCTAACTCAGCCTTGTGGGGGATGCCAAGTGAGCCACATAGAGGAAATTTAGCCTGAATCCGAGCAACCAGTGGGGACCCTGGATGGAGGGCAGAGTCCCAGTTCTCTCATCTAACCCATGGCTTCTTGTTCTCTCCCAGAAATATCGGGGTTCTTGTTTCAAGCACTTGAAAGGGCTTCCCATTTTCTAGAACTGCATGGATTAACCTGATAAAGCCCTCACTGGGGTCGACTAGATGAGCAGACATTGTATACACTAAGCGTCAGAAATCTAATTGGTCTGTTTATTCTATAGTTAGATGGATGGGATGCAAATGTCTTGATGCCTGCTGCTGATATATGTCTCCGCCTAAAGTCCCAGCAGTTTACATTAGAGCAAGACGTTGGCTGCTTGGTTTTTACTAATGCAGCTCAGAAGTTTCTAGTGTTTACAATAGCTGCGAGGTATTTGTATTTTTATAGGGATTCTCTCTCCTTTCATCTAATGTCGAAACATATAGACATGGCAAAGTTTGGTGCCTGTTCTGTTTTATGATCAAGAGGACCATTAACAGATATCTTTGCCCTCCCTCTTCCCAGAACATCCTGAGCACATCCCCCCGGCCCCCAGCCGACTTCCAGCAAAATTGCCCTAGAAATCGTTAGTTACAGAAACATGTGCATGCGTGCGTGCTTGCGTGTGTGGAGCCCGCCCCTCCCCCTGTGTGGAGTGTCCGCCAGTGGCTGTTCCTGGCTGACAGGTTTACCTTGGTATTCATGAACAATCCCAGACCTTAACCCTCAGTGGTGGGAAAGCAGGGCCACTTGTGCACTCTCCTCTTCTTCATGGTGCTGCTGCCTTTATGTTTGAATTGGCTGACGCAAAACAAGAGTATTCAGAGATGCTAAATTGTTCAACAAAAGATTGGCCACAGAGCAGCCCCATCGCAGAACCGCCCTCCCCTGCAAATGCCCCAGCAACTGCAGAATGGGCAGGGTTTTCTTTGCAGAAAGCTGGTTCCTATGTTCTAAAAAGGTTGCAATTGGAGCTATTTGGTTAAACTGGAACTCACAGAATTCTAGGCAGAAAGTTGTGATTAATGAAAGCCCAGGGAAAGCCTTACCTGATACGCCAGAGACTTAATTAGAGATTCTGCTCTAAGATGCAGAAGCATTTCACAGTGGATTAGCTGTCTGCAGAAGTGGGCTGCTTTTCCTCCTGGGCTAAATTGTTTAAATTCTACACCCTTCACTTCATTTGTTTGCTTCTGCTGGGTTTTCATGGACGGGGCCCCTCTGCATTGTATTTGTGCTTTCAGTCTACTCAACCATTCAGTTCACATTCCATATTTTTGTGTTTGTGTAACACATTCATAAATAACATTACATGCCATGAGATTTCAGCAAATTAACAAACTAATTTTTTTCCTCTCCTTTCATTAACTAAACTTTGGGTTGTGGAATGCAGCCCTCAAAATCATAAGGTTAAAAAAAAAAAACTAATCTTGTGCTGAATTTGAACCATAGTTTTGTTAACAGTCTTTTCACTAGTGTGGGTTTTGCTCATTTTTGGCTTACGACGTGCTGCAATATTTGGGCACGTAAAGGGTAGCTTAATTTATCTTTACCACAGTGAATGTCCCTGTTTCCTTTTTATCTTCAAGGTATTTCTTTGCTGTCCTGGCAATCCTAACAATCCTGGGTGTTCTCAATGGGCTGGTTTTGCTTCCAGTCCTTTTGTCCTTCTTCGGACCGTACCCTGAGGTCAGTAATTATGCTGGGCGTAGTGTGCAGTCCACGGGCCACCTGAATGCTATTTTTCCTGGTGTCACTCTTAATTTAGATATTTAGATATATCCACATTACTGATGGTTTACATTTTCAGTAAACATCTCACAAACACTATGGCTTTTTTTCTCTTCAATGTGTAGTTTTGGGGATTTAGTAATGCTTTGGTTTGGTTTTTTTAAACCAAGTAACTGGCAGCCTGGGCCTTGTAGGTCCATATCAGTGAAGCATTTTCCACTCAAGATGGATATCTGGGCTTTAACAAAAGTGAAAAGGGCCCCACCTGCCTTTCCAGTGTGTGAAAACAGGGTGTTCTTTTGCTCCAGTTGTCAGACCTTTGGGTCCTCCTCACGGTAGCAGAGAGGGAGGGAATACGGGGTAGTGGGAGAGACTGGGGGGCGGGGTAGGAGCAGAGACCCCACAACAGTACTGTTTTTTGAACTGTGAGTGTGACTAACAGGTAAATGGACGGTAGCACGTCTAATATGGAATCTCCTTAAATAGGTGTCTCCAGCCAACGGGATGAACCGGCTGCCCACTCCTTCCCCAGAGCCGCCCCCCAGTGTGGTCCGGTTTGCCGTGCCCCCCAGTCACATGAACAACGGGTCTGATTCCTCTGACTCTGAGTACAGTTCTCAGACGACGGTGTCGGGCCTCAGCGAGGAGCTTCGGCAGTACGAGGCACATCAGGGGGCTGGGGGCCCTGCCCACCGAGTGGTCGTGGAAGCCACTGAAAACCCGGTCTTCGCCCGCTCCACCGTAAGTCATACTCGGGCACCCCCTGCCTGCTCTGAATAGCAAATCAGGCAGCAGAGTAGAGGTTCAGTGGAATCATGAAATTGCCGATATTTGACGTCCCTTAAACTGTAAAAATTGTCAGTGTCATATAGTTAGATATCAAAAAGGGCAGAAGCCAGTAATGGTCAGTACACAGAGCAGCAGCATGGATCTTGCTCAGGCTAAATGCATTTTAAGCTGAAGGGCCAGAGGGAAAGCAGGCCTTGCCTCTGTCTCTCTCTCTTTTTTTAGCTGCATATTATTTTAGAATAATACTTTTTTAAAATGTAGTGGAATTTTTTGTTGCCAGCAGAAGTGATCTTTTTTTTTTTCTCCCACTTCTGTTACCTTTCATTGCCCTTGGTACAGAATTATTTCAATTATTATTGTCCAGGACTTCACCAGAGCTTTTGTGGCTCCGAGTGTACAGTCTAGTTGGTTGGGAAGGAGCAGGGACGCTTAACCTTCAGAAATTCAGGAAAGCCATGAGCACCTGGGAGTCCCTTCTCAGAGGCTCCGAGAATCCCCACCGCGTCCTTCCCTCTGCTTCCCAGGTTGTCCTCAGCACCCCCAGTCCTGGAGCACAGCACACAAAACCCATTCTAAGGCTCATATTCCTTCCACTGAGGGCCTCCTGCTGTCCCTCTAGGAAATGGGTATTCCAGTCCCAGGCCAAAGAGGCCTTCCATGAAAGACAGGGGCCAACCAAATAACCTAAATTTTCCTCCTCTTCCCCCCTGGGGCGATGCCTGCTGAGCTGCAGTGTGAATCTGGTTTTGTTCAGCAGGGGCCTAAAAATAGGTACAAGCTGAACGACTTTGAAGTTGGTCACGGTCCTTTTGATTGATGTGGCCACTGTGTTGCTCCATGCTTTGTATAGAGACCCAGAAACCAGATTCCTAACAACCGAGCAGAGCAGCACTGCCCCATAGAACTTTCTGAGACGATGCAAAAGCCCTCTGTGCTCTCCAATACAGTAGGCACTGGCCTCATGTGTCTCTTGAGCACTTGAAATGTGGCTAATGAGACTGAGGAGCTGAGTTTTGAATTTTAGTTCATTTAAATGTAAAGCTATACATCCCTAATGGCTTTTGTATTCAACAGCGTCGGTAGACCGCCCTGCCCACGTCCAGCATTTGGGCATGCCAGGGCCACATGCTTAGCAATTTTAGAAGCAGAGGAGCTCGGGATCTGACCCTCCTGAGCAGGGGAGTGGGGAGGTGGTGGGCTGTGGGAGGGAGGCATTACAGATCCTCTCCAACCACGGCTCTCCATGTATGGGCAGCAGCCGTATGTGTCCATCCAGCTATTGGAGAAAGACTATACGTGGAGTCCAAATGAGGCACTCCTGCCACTGGAGGTTCTCAGAGAATGGGCCTTGCTTTTCTGAGTGGAAGGCCCCTGGGCCTCTCTCAACCATCTGTGGAGTTGACTGAGCACTTGGTTAAGAAAAGCGGCGTGTGGGTGGTCAGGCAGGAGCCAGAGCCAAGAAGGGCGGGCTGGGGGTGGCGGGGCTGACGCCCATCCTGGGCTCGCGCCTGGCCTGCTTTAACCTGCCTTCACCCACTGCAGGTGGTCCATCCAGAAGCGAGACATCACCCGCCCGCGAACCCTCGACAGCAGCCCCAACTGGACTCAGGGTCCCTGCCGCCTGGACGGCCAGGCCAGCAGCCCCGGAGGGAACCTCCCAGAGAAGGCTTGCGACCGCCCCCCTACAGACCGCGCAGAGACGCTTTCGAAATTTCTACTGAAGGGCATTCTGGCCCTAGCAACAGGGACCGCGTGGGCCCCCGGGGAGCCCGCTCTCACAACCCTCGGCACCCAGCGTTCACTGCCATGGGCAGCTCTGTGCCCAGCTACTGCCAGCCCATCACCACCGTGACGGCCTCAGCGTCTGTGACTGTTGCCGTCCATCCCCCATCCGCCCCCGGGCCTGGGCGGAACCCCCGAGGGGGGCTGTGCCCGGGCTATGAGGACTACCCCGAGACGGACCCCGGGCTGTTTGAGGACCCCCATGTGCCTTTTAACGTCCGGTGTGAGAGGAGGGATTCCAAGGTGGAGGTCATAGAGCTGCAGGACGTGGAATGTGAGGAGAGGCCCCGGGGCAGCGGCTCCAACTGAGGTGTGTGAGGCCGGAGGGACACAGAGAGCAAAGCTCCTTGGGGTTTCTGGGGCTTGGACCCCCCGCCCCGGGCCTTGGTATGTGCCGAACCGAACGCTAGTGACCTTTGATCCCCAAGGCAAGGCTGCCATGTCCAAGCTCTGTCATCCTTGGAGAACTAGTCTTGTCCCAAACCGGGTCTCTCCCCTCACTGTTTACCTGCTGAGGGTCACTGCAACTTAACAGAGATGCTAATAGCAGCACCTTTCACCCATTTTTCAATCTTTATCAAAGTGCCATACAGGTAGGTATGATAAACACACAGCTCAGTGAACGGTTACAAACGAACACACCTGTGTCACCAGCCCACAGATGGAGGAAGGAATCATGAGCGGCCCCTAGAAACCCCTCCTGCCCTCACCCAGCCCCCCGCCATCTTCATTTCTCATGCAATAAATCACTTTTTCCTGTTAGTGTGCTTTAAAAATATGGACTCATATACCCGTTACTTAGTTTGACTTACCTTTTTTTTTCTTTTAAAGGGTGAGTAAAATCTGAAGCAAAGAGGCCAAAGATTGGAATCCCCCCCCAACCCCCCCAGAACTGCTTGAAGAGAACTGCTTGGAGTTGGATGTACTGCACCAGGATGGCAGTTCACTGTTACTGTAACCAATTGTATTATTTTGTGAAATATTTTTATAAATATTTAAGAGGTGTACACATATGTAATATACGAAAGAACAGATGTAAAGTAGTGTTTGTGGGGCATCTTCACTCCTGCCCCAGAGTGGGCAGTGGGGAAGGCCACAGCAAGGCCCCTCCCTCTTTGTACATTGGCCTCTGTGCCACAACCAAGCTTAACTTAGTCTTAAATTTCAGCATATGTTGCTGCTGCTTAAATATTGTATAATTTACCTGTATAATTCTATGCAAATATGGATTATATAATAGGATTATTTTGTAAAGGTTTCTGTTTAAAATATTTTAAAGTTGCATATCACAACCCTGTGGTAGTATGAAATGTTACTGTTAACTTTCAAACACGCTATGCGTGGTAATTTTGTTGTTTAATGAGCAGATATGAAGAAAGCACGTTAACCCAGTGGCTTCTCTAGGTGTTAGTTGGATGCGATTCTTCTGTTCGGCTGTGTATGTGAATGTGTGTGTGATTTCCCAATGTACTGCACTGTGATTTTTTTTATTTTTTCCTTTTTTTGTTTCTTTCACTGTCTGTAAACCCTTCGTGGGCTCTGCCCTAGTCAGGCTGGAAGAGTCGGGATTCTGTGATTGCCTGGTGCTGGTGGAGGGCAAGTCCTGCCCTAAACAGCGCCTATCCTTTGGCCAGACTCGCTTCAGGCCCAGGGCACCTCTTAAGATCATTGGCTGCCATCCAGATGCCCCAGCTTGTGCCTCCAAGGAGATAAGTTCCTTCAGAGGGATCTTAGGGTGGAGGTTGTTACCTCAGGGTACAGAGCTAACATCTGTTTATCTTCATTGTCGTTCAAGCATTAGAGAACATGCCTAGTGGTGAGCCTCAGCTGGGCCGTGAGCGTATTATGCAGCCTTCATTATTACCTCTTGTGACCAACACACGCACACACACCCACACACACACCCCTCAAAAAAAAAAAATTGAAGAGTGAATTGAAAGTGTTTTGGAGACAATGTTCCTACTACAGGTAGAAAAGCCTGTTCATTTTGGGCCCACAGAGGTGATGTTTTGAGTCCCTCAATTTAAACTCCCTTTCGTCTTGAATTGCACAGTTGGTCAGGCTTTCTGGATCTGTTTGCATCTTTAAAAATATAGATAGTGAGCATGCAATACAGTGATACAGAGTCAGAGGTTCTGTAGGATATGAGCTTCAGAAGGATCCTTCTCAGTGAGTTTATATTAACCTTATGAGTACACACTTCCTGAATAAATCATCTCCTTCCTCTCACCATTTTTAGTGTTCTTTCTATGTGACAGTTATTGACAAGCAAGAAGATGCTTATTACATACATCCCAGTGAAGAATGGATATGGAGGCAGATCTCTTGGCCAGGCATTGTTTTTAAAGATTTGCTTCTGTATTGATTCTGTTGTCTTGCTCTGAGGCTTGGTCTTCCTCCGCTTTTAGCCAGAGACCAGCGAATGTCGGGGAAGCACTTGGCACCCAGACTCAGCTACTATAGTAGTTAGTGCACAAATGGCATCTCCCGTTATGCTCTCCGGTTTCACATGGAAAATCTTAATCAAAATGCAACAGGCCCCCAATAGTACCCAGCCGTGCAGGGACCTCAGTCCCTAAACTTGCCCCCAAACTAAGATACTAATTGGAAGCCACCAGGTGTGTTAATTTGCCAGGGGCCCCAAAGGCCCCACTGCTACTGTTTGGTGCCTCTGTTACCACACTGTCTACCTACCACCCAGCTCTGCTCAGAAAACTTTCATCCTGCATTCAGGAGAGAGATGATGCAAAATTCTGAGGTCTGCTTCCCCTCTGGCTTGTGGCGTCCCCCCACTCCCTTCCTGAGCCCAACTTGTGTGGTGCATGACAGCTCACCTAGCCCCTGCTTTTTACAGCGTAGAACTTTCTCCTATAGTCACATTGGCAAAGGGAGAACGTGGGGGCTGGCAGGCAACTAGAATTTTTCTCTCTCATTTTTAAAATACTTTTATTTTGTCTGTCTTGTTTGTTCATTTGGATGTTTTAATTTTTTTTAAAGAAATCTTTGCTGATATTTATAATTTTGTATTATAAGAATGTTTTCCTACAGTATTTGTCATGCCAGTTTATAACAAAAAAATTGCAGGGATTTTTATTTCTATTGGAAACACTATTACAGCTATGTTTTACTTTTGAACAGAATTTTTATTTGTATAGAGTGCTTACTAATGTTAAATAGTTCAGAGTATATAACATTTTCATTAAGAACTCATGGTAGGTTTTAGTGTAAGAAGTTTAAAGGAAATAAATATTCAAACTGGGTCTCATTTCTGCCAATTTTGGTGGAAATGGGTTTGTGTCATTTCAATTACAAAGATAAAAGTATGCCATATAATTTATTTATATGAAAATTTATTTTTGTAGTGTACATAGTAGTCATCAAGTCTTTTGACAGAAGTATATTTTTAAAGAATTTATATGTGATGAATTCATAATGTCTGGAACTTTGCTGAGACATGAGTGGGACACACTTTTCATTGTAAAGTACAGCAAGGAAAAGAAAATGTTTTAACAGTGTTAAAGAGAGTAAGATCGAGTGAATATTCACGCAATTGTGAAATGTGTATTAGTTACCATTTGTGACCTAGTGTGGTTCTCATTTTAAACCTTGAAAGGCAAAAATGTACAAACTCTCTAAATATTAATGTTCAAACACTGATAGAAATTCTAACATGAATAAAAAATAATATAACTTGTTGGTTATGTCTTTGTTTTATAGAATGTTTTTTAAGTAAAATATTTTATGGCGGCAGTTAGTGTGTCAGGCCCTCATAAACTTTATTGTTCCGTCTTACCAACCTTGTCAAATGCTCATTTTTTGTTCTACTTCGTGGAGGCATTGTTGATAGAAAAAGAGTTCTATGTTTCTGTTTTCTGACACCGAGAAAGTTCCTCAATTACCATTCAGAATGATCCCTTTTTATGTCATTTCTTTTTTTGGGGGGATGGAGGGGTTGCAGCCTACGCCGTCACCGGTGACTCACGGCAGCCCCACTCCAGATTGAGCTATTCACCATCTTAGCTGTAGAGGACGCAGTGTCACTGACCCTCATGTGAGATCCAAACCGGGGCCCTGCTGCTCAGAGCTGGCGTCCCAAACCAGCTCTTAACCAATACGCCACTCGGCCAGCCCCTGTCATTTCTTAACATTCTTATTTTTTATGTGATGGCTAATAATTGGAATGTTTATAAAGACAAATCCAGTGATTGTTAAATTAACGTGTTGTGCTTAGTGGGGCTGACTGAACCTGATACAGAATGTTATTTTTCTGAGTGTTTGATATGATTATACCTTATCTTTAGTATAGCCATGGAGAAAAATCAGGCCAGGAAGAGCATCTCTCCACTTGACCGCTGGAAGCAAGGAGTGGGAGGGACGAAATCGAGACCCAATTTGCTTTAAGCATGTGGTGAGATCAGCAAACTGCAGCCCGCAGACCTGTTTTTGTACAGATTTATCAGAAGACACTCATTCACGTACAGGTTGTCCATGGCCGCTTTCAAGCTAAAATGGCAGAGTTGGGTAGTTGCAACATGACTACATAGCCTGCAAAGCCTAAAATATTTACTAACTGGCCCTTAAGAAAGCGTGCCACCCCATCTTATGAAAATGTTATCATAGGCTGACGATGCTCAAGTATCCTGAGGTCCATGGATGGGCAGCACCGGCCTGCTTTGGGAGCTTGTTTGAAAAGGGGGATCTTCGGGGCCATTCCAGACCTACTAAGTCAGAATTCCAGGAACCTGCTTTTATGAGCTGTCCGGTGGTTCTGATGCATCAGCAGAGTCAATCCCTAAATTCCTTCCCACAGAATGTGGCCATGGTTCTATGATTTGACTCGGGCTACACGGCCAATGCAGACCAGATCCAGAAACATGGCGATCCCAACGTCTCTGTGTGGTAATTCCACAAAAGCACATGTTCATCTGTGGAAAAGAATGGAGACACGTGAACTCCGCCTTTGTGTCAGGGAGTCAAGAGAGGAATTCCCTTTTTAGTGTTCTGCCACCACTGTGGGACAAGACCTCAGTGGAGGGCGTGGGCTCCTCACTTCACGGGAGGGAGGACCACACCAGGCCAGACCCTCTGCCACCCTCCCGGCTGAGGGTTCCAATTGACCAACTCACTTGGGCAAGTCACTTGAAACATCAGAGACTCTGTGTATTCATCTGTATATAAATTAAAGACAATGTGTGTCCCTCACTGACTTCTGGAGGTTGAAAACAATGATGGTTGTGATGAGGTGTGGACCAGAGGAGACATTGAGTCAAACGAAAATCACAACAACCTCTAGACCCCACACAGTACTAGTTCAATTACCAATTCTCAGCTTCTTAAAGTCCCCCACCCCTAAGGTGACAAGGACCCTTGTACAGGAACATGAATCTCTGTGGGAGGGTTTTGTACTTATTGAGCCCCTCTTTCGGGGCATTTGAGGTATACAGTAAACTGACCAAGGAGTAAGACGCTCAGATAAGAAAATGGATACTTTACCTGGAAAAAAATAATCAAAATATTAAGGCTTTCTGTCTTGTAACCTCTTCTTCCTACCACCTCCTGGTAGAATCAACAATATGTTCCTAAGCCCTTCAGTAGTGAATTTCATACATAATGCTCTCTTGGTTCGGTCAAAAGTCATGGAGGAATATGTACTCCCCCGAAACAGCATGGAAAATATTAATTGCATTAATGGGAATTCAAGTTGAGAAACACTTTTCTTTTAGACTTGCTTTATTCCACCAAAATTACCATTGCCATCTGATCTTATATTCTTTATAAATTACATATACCTAAGTAAGCTAACTTAGTTTTCATATTGGCCTAGGGAGAAGTTTTTCACCAGATTTGTGTCCCAAAACCCACCATATTTATTCAGGACTTAGGTAAACATAAGGCCCCATTTTTTTTGGCACAACGGATGTATTTAACAGCTTCGGGAATGCTGCGTGCTGCTAAATTTCGGGCAGCAGCCACGTTAATGTAAAAGCAGGTGTTTCATTTTTGGTAACTGGCAACTGACCTCTTAAAAGGAGAAGTGGAGATGACCTATTAATCATCCAAAAAGAATGTTTGCCAAGTTTTAATGACTTTTAGTGAAGACTGAACCTAATGAGAACACGCCTCAAACATGAACCTGTATAATTGTTCACACTGTCATGATGGGGACATGTTGGATGACACTTGCTGCATAGGTTCCCTGCCAGGAAATTACAACTGTCAGCATAAGGATCTTGAAGGGATATTCTGGTCTGTTAGGAGCATGATGGACCTCAGGAAAACTGAGGGACCCAGGGCCCTCCATTACAAAAAGAAGAGGGAAATAGGGACGACGCAAAATAAATGTGGCATAGCCAAAGCATGTCTATTCTACATGGCAGGGTGTTTTCATGCCTCCTCCTTAAGGATTCCCTTTCTTGGTATTCAGCTGAGATGCTATGAAGGGAGCTGACACTGTAGAGAGCATTTGTCCTCAAGCGAGAAGTGCCACCCAGAAAAGGCAACCACAGCCACGTCTTTCTCAGTCAACTGATCCCTTTCCATTCCTTTTTTCCTGGAGTGTTCTCTTCATTTATCTGTTTCTTGTCCACAAGACTTGAGGCTGAGGTGATAAGAGTGTGAGATGTAAGCTACCTACCAGCAAGGCAAAAATGAAGTCAGATAAGAGATCACACGGAAGCAAGCCCAGGAAATACCTATTAACAGGACCATCTTGGTACACAATGGACAACAGCTTGCTTTCTTGGGGAGAGGGGTGAGGGGAGGTGGATAAGAACCTGTTTTATTTTTACAAAGAAAAAAAATGTAGATGGAGGAGAAATTGATGAGCAAGTTCTGACTGGTGAGTTATTATATAATAATGAGGATTGCACCATTAAGCCCAAGTCAAAGTGCCAAAAGAAAAACCTTAGTAATTACAAAGTTCAGTCTCAGCAGCAGCGGTAGGTAGACTCCTGTTGAGAGCCTCTCACAGCAAAAGGAGAAGCAAGATGAGGCAAGAATGGAGAAAAGCAGGAGGCTCTCTGCTGCTGATTGAGAAAGGGAACAGCTATCTGTCATAGGAGACGTGGTCAGATGCCCAGAAAGTGAGGCTGACACTGGAAAAGACAAAGTACCACAAAAAGTAGGAAAAGACCATCAAAATGAGGAAGAGGTATGAAGAAAGGTAGGAATGAAATAGAGTGCCGAGAGACAAAGATCTTCTTCAAAATATCCACAGCCTGCCAGAGCAGTTGCTAGCCCATAATATTTCAGGATTGTGACTGCTGAAGTGTCAACAAGAACACCCGAGCCTCTATCCGTGGATGGATGACTTTTTTCTTTTCCTCTACAGCTCCCACCTCACATGGGATCATGGAAGGTTACCAAGAGTCATGGAAGTTTGTCGTGAATCCCGGAAGGCTAAAGCTGTATGAGACATTTGCCATCTTCCATCCAAGAAACCTAGAGAAGTGATACGACGTGCCTATCATTAGCCAACACCTTCAGTAGTCAATCAGTTTAGAACCTGGATCTAGTCCAATTTGATGTTCTTATTCTCTCTTGTTGCCCTCATCACCCACTCCGCCCACATTTATTTCATGTGCTCATTTCAAAGGCACGGGTGACTGCTGTCTACACAACTACTATCGCAAAAGAGCTTCTGGGCCTCTCAGCCACCAGTGCACATGCATAATCATGCGCTCACAGACTACATGTCGGCACTGAAGGCAAACAGCTGCAATGGAGGAAGCAATTAGCAAATTTCTGAATTATCCTTCTGATTACACTTAAATTCCAAAAGCTAATTGGCTAAAATGTTCCTCCTTAATTAGAAGCAATTAATATGTGAAACTAGGTATGCATTTCACAAGAGAGTTTGCATTTCACAAGAGAGTTTGCATTTCATGATTGAAATCTCATAGTTCATTTACTAATGGTCTCTAATGGCCTGTAATCATAAGGTGCACACAATTAAGGTGGGATTTTCAAAGTGCAAGTAAGGGAGGATGCCTGAATTATTCTTTCACTGCCAAAGACATAGCCTGCTTCCACCTTGGACTGCAAAATACACAACATAAATGCACGTGCTTGCCAAACATACCCACATCCGAGGGAAGTCCTGACCTGTCAACCCTGACCCCTACTGAATTTTCTCCTCTCTACTCTCATTTCCTCAGGGCTTGTCCTCTCTGAGAGGACTCTCCCCACACCAAGGTCAAAAAGAAATCTATCTAAAATACAGATTCTAATGGTGGAGCCTCACCCTGAGTAGCAACAATACTGGTAATAAAAACCACCGTTTCTTGCTCACTATGGGTCAGGTCATAAGTTATTTCACCAAACAAACTCAATAAACATGATATCAACAGAGACTCAAAATGAGAAGGAAAGAGGGGCCGGTCGAGTGGTGCGTTGGTTAAGAGCTGGCTTGGGACACCAGCTCTGAGCAGCAGGACCCTGGTTCGGATCCCACATGGGGGCCAGTGACACTGCCCTCTACAGCTAAGGCAGTGAACAACAGCTTGACCTGGAGCTGGGCTGCCATGAGTTGCCAGCAACAGCGTAGGCT